TCCCTAGCCCTCATATTTAATTAACAACTCACAAACACTCCAAGATTTTACATGTTATAATTTAATCTTTGTAATATCTTGAAGACTCAGTTTTCCTTATAACAACTTCTTTAAATCCACATTTCAGTATTAGAATTAGATTTGGCCAAGAGCAATAGAAATAGCAGTAGTGGCTTAAACAAGATAGCAGTTTATTTCTGTTTTAAAAAAAACAAACAAACATCCAGAGATAAGGCATCCATTGCAATCAGAAGCCCAGGTTCCTTCTCTGTTGTTGCTTTGATGTTCTCAACACATTGCTGCCACCTCATTATCCAATATGGCTGCTAAAGCACCAGCCAACCCATATAATTCAGTCCAACAAGAAGGGAAAAGGAACAAAGTTACTCTCTCATTCTTTAAAGATACCTCCTAGAAGTCATATATGACTCTTCTGCCTTCTGGTCATTGGTTAAAACTGTCACATGGTCACTCCTGGCTGCAAGGGAAGTTAAGAAGTGTAGCTTTTATTTGGGGTGACCAAGTTCCCACCTAAAAATTGAAGAAATATGGGGAGAACAGGTTGAGAAATAACAAGCAGTCTTTTTGACACAATTTACTCATCTATAAAATGAGAAGAACATTAATACCGGCTTCAGAATATCCATGTGAGGAAAAATGAGATAATGCATGAGGTTTTCACCAGTCCTAATAATAAAGACTTTCTTCTTCCTTTGAAGGAATTATACAAAATAAGTGTACACCTAGAGGTAGTTCATTGCTATTACTATTAAACCTATGAGGTAATATCCCCATTTTGCAAAAGATGAAAACAAGAATCCAAGAAGCTAATTAACCTCCCCAGGAAACAGAACAAACTGGCAGACATGGGGCTAAAGTCCAGATTCACTGACTCTAAATTCAGGTTTTCTTTCACTACTGAGTGCTAACTTTCCTTCTACCTCACTTCACTATAACCACCTCTCTTATTATCAACCTCATGCTCACCAAGACAGCATCTAATATGCTTCTCTCCATTGAAAAAAATGCTTTTATGCAGCATCCCATCAATGGTTTATATTTAACTTTATAAGAAACTGCCAGTACTAGATACCAGTATTGAAGGCTTCACTAATCAAAATGGGCTACACAACTGGATCTCTCATACATTGTCAGTAAGAGGTTAAATTATATAATCACTGTGAAAAACTCTTTGGCAGTTTCTTATAAAGTTAAATATATACCTTTCTTATAAACTAACAATTCCACTCCTATGTATTTTTCAAAAAAGGCTTGAAATAGAATATTATTTATAACTTCAGTCATAATAACTACAAGAAATAAATTTTAAAAATGGGAACAACTGGATTAATATCCATCAACAGGAAAGTAAATAAACGAATTGTGGCAATTTAGAAAATGGAATACTACTCAGCAATAAAAAGGAACGAACAGACATGCAACAGCATGGGTGAATCTCAGAAATATTCTGTTGAGTGAAAGAAGATCCAAAAGAATAAATACTGGCCCTGGCTGCTTTGGCTCAGTGGATAGAGCGTCAGCCTGTGGACTGAAGGGTCCCAGGTTCAATTCCAGTCAAGGACAGGTACCTCAGTTGCAGATTCGATCCCAGCCCTGCTTGGGGCGTGTGCAAAGGCAACCAATCAATGTGTTTCTCTCACATTGATGTTTCTCTGTTTCTCCCTCCCACTCTCTCTAAAAATCAATGGAAAAATATCCTCAAGTAAAGATTAACAACAACAAAAAGAGTGCATACTGTATGATTCAATTTCTATGAAATTGAAGAACCTTTACTGAGGTGTTAATTACATGGATGGATGTATTTATCAAAACTTAACTAGCCCTGGATAGTGTGGCTCAGTTGGTTCGAGTGCTATCCCATACACCAAAAGGTGGTGGGTTTGATTCTCAGTCAGAGCACATACCCAGGTTGTGGGTTCAATCCCAGGTAGGGGCACTCAGGAGACAACCAATCAATGTTTCTCTCACATTGACGTCTTTCTTTCTTTCTCTCTCTCTCTCTCTCTTTCTCTCTTTCCTTTCCTTTCTAAAATCAATAAAGAAAAAAATGTTTTAAACTTAATTATATATGTAAAATATGTACATTTTATTGCATGTAACTATATCTTAATACAAAGAAAATAATAAGATGAGGGTTGCAGAAATAGATGTTGTACATAAATATCACAAAATATTTTTAAAAGGGAAAGAAGAATTAAAAATGAAAATAAAGACAGAATGGGTCTAAGTTCTTAGCCACAAAGGGCATAAATAGTGCTGCTATACTTGAAGCAAACTCTTTTAGTAATATAATGGCAGCACCATAAGTATCTGTTTTTTTTTTAATTCTTTATTGTTTAAAGTACTACATGAGTCTCCTTTTCCCCCCCCCCAGTGACCTCTTTCCTGCCACCCCCTACCCCAAGCACAAGCCCTCACCCGCCCTACTGTCTGTATCCATTGATTTTGTTCATATTTACGCTACCGGATCTTCCACAAAATACCGACTTCTACGCATGGGCCACGAAGTTTCAATCGTACTGTACGTGTGAGCCTGCACGTGGTATTTTGTGGAAGAGCCACACTAAAGGGGCCAAAGAGCCGAATGTGGCTCAAGGGCCGCAGTTTGCCGACCACGGTGCTAAGCGAAATAAGCCAGTCAGAGAAAGATAAATA